TACATACATACGTTATGAAATTTCGCTATGCAAACAAATTCTCACTTGTTGTTCTTCTGGCAGGCTCTCTATCGTTGGTTGAAGCTTGGAACGATTTCCGTATTTCAGAACTTATCTCGCTTAGAGGCTTCCTTCTGCACCTTCTTGTTACAAGTGTTGCCTCGTTTTCTTGAGAGTTTCCCGAATCTAAAATATCTCACTTTGGTAATTCTTGTTTTTGAAACTTTTTATTTTGGCTTAAAGTACATGACATGACTATAGAAGTGTAACTAAGTTTATTTGTTAATGTTGGAACTTTGCAGTACCTAGTTCATACCGCTGTGCCAGAGCCAGATAAGCTTGAACCTACCGTTGTGCCTCGGTGCTTACTGTCGAGTCTCGAGCGTGTTGAGATTAAAGAAGTGATTACGGAACAAGATACTTTGTGGAATAAGACCATCAGTAAGAGAACCGCAACAAGACTATTGAGGGTCAAGAAGAGTCACTGGATGAAAGCAGTGAGGTACATTCTCGAGAACTCATTAGTCCTCAAGAGACTCATTTTGTGTTTCTCTCCTTTAACCAACCAAGTCTCGGATACCTCCAAGGAGCTTAGTACATTCACAAAACGTTCTCGCAGATGTGAAATCTTCATTCGTGTCCCATATCTTTGAAGATCAATGTAGGAATCTTAGAGAATGTGGTTTTATGATGTTTGAACACTCTGGTGATAAACGTTTTGTACATATTCAAATTGATTAGCCATTGATGGTTCTATATGCTGAAAATGTCAGATTAGTGGAAAGTTTATTGCTTTCAATCTCAATCTTACCTCATTCTGCAATGCTAAGTGAGTAGTACTTAGGCCTTGCAATCTTTTCTTCTTTGTAGAACTTTCCGTGATCTTCAAAGAAAAAAAGTGACATTTGTCAAAAGGTAGAGACATTTGTCAATAAGCTTTGCCTGCTCGCCAATGTTGACTCCAGTTTCAACTGTATTACTTACCATCTAAGACTCGTTACATCATCCTGGTCAACTTCTTATCGAATCGTATCTTATATTTATTGGAGTCACCGCTTGTATTATTTATTCATTCTTGATCTCAGAGAAGTATCTTAGCTTTTAAATGTTCTTGTTATGTTTTTGCAATTTGATTTGAGTGAATGGCTAGTTTTTCATAATGTTATAATGTTCTGTTTTATTTTTTTTCTTTCTTTTCCAGTGACTACAGTTAACAATGGCTGCGTCACTAGCTAAGGAGAACTCGAATTTTCCTGGAACCGCAACATCATTTCGAAACTCCGTTTCACAAAATCTTGATTCTCAGTTTCCAGCAGAGTCAGGAAGATACCATCTATACATCTCTTACGCTTGTCCATGGGCTTCTAGATGTCTCGCAATCTTGATACTCAAAGGACTCGACAAAGCCATAACCTTCTCGGTTAGTTAAAAAACAAAATCAGTTCCTGATACATCCGTTTCAGATTTTTACAGAAGATAATAATTTGATCCGTTTGTTTTGTTCATTAGTCTGTTCAACCACTATGGAGAAAAACCAAAGAAAACGAAGAGCATATAGGATGGGTTTTTCCAGATTCAGATACAGAGGTTCTTGATGCCGAGAGAGACCATCTTAATGGTGCCAAAACCATAAGAGAGCTTTATGATATCGCCAGCTTGAACTATACAGGCAAATACACTGTTCCTGTAAGTTATTGTTTATCCATGGTGTGTGTGTGTGTGGTCTTAGCTCAAGTCTTGATTCTGTTACTTCATTCGTATTTCGGTTTCTTTGTGTGTGTGTGGTATAGGTCCTTTGGGATAAGAAGCTTAAGACTATAGTCAACAACGAGAGCTCTGAGATACTTAAAATGTTCAATACCGAGTTCAATCATGTCGCGGAAAATCCTTCTTTCGATCTTTATCATCCCAACCTCCGAACCATAATCGATGAGACTAATGAATGGATTCACGATGGGATAAGCAATGGTGTTTATGAATGCGGTTTTGCAAAAACTCAAGCAGCATATGATGTGGTAAAGCAAATTTACGATTTTAGGAATCAATATGCTAATTAAAGATACTGATTCCAACAGTACGCTTTGCAGGCAGTGAAGAAACTGTTTGATGCGTTGGACAAATGCGAAGAAATACTCGGAAGACAACGGTTTCTTTGCGGAAACACTTTGACTGAATCAGATATCAGATTATTCGTCACTCTCATAAGATTTGACGAGGTTTATTTTAGCTCAAGTTGTTATATGTTTCATGTTTTCTATATACTGGTTTGTTCAGTTTACCATATGTTTTTTGAGAAATTGTTGTGTTGTTGTAGGCTTACGCGGTGATATTCAAATGCGATAAGAGACTTGTAAGGGAGTATTGGAATCTGTTTAACTACACGAAAGATATCTACCAAATCAAGGGGTTGAGCAGTACAGTGAAGATGGATCATATAAAGCAAAATTACTATGGAAGCTTTCCTTCTATAAACCCTCTGGGGATTGTAGCTCATGGACCAAACATTGATTACTCTTTGCCTCATGACCGACACAGATTCTCCACGGAAACAGCATGAAGGCATGAAGACACAGACTATACTGTGAATTGTGTCGTATTTGTTTGGTCTTTAAGGACATTGTCTTCGATTGAGCTATTAGTAATACGTGTGTGTCAGTGTGTGTCTGTGTGTTACCGTGAAAGGCGTGTTTGTTGTTTATACACTGATAATCTGTTATTTCACCAAAGTTTTAACGGACAATTAGCCAGGTCACGTATAATGTATGATTAGACAGAAAAGGAAAACTTCGGGTATGAAAATTGAAATTTCAGTAGTTTAGGTATGAATTATCATGGTGGTTAAGTTGAGGTATAAATTGAACATATGGAAAAAGTTTGGGTAGGAATTAGCCATTTCCCGTTATTTCACCATTATTGTCGTTTTTCAGCAAGATATTAATGCTTCATTTTCTTGATTACAGTGTATAAGTATTTGCCGAAACCAAGTTGTACATGATATGATCTGAGAAAAACTTTTTTTCTACCAATTTTCCTATGGTTAAGCATTTGAAACTTAATTTTACATAACCGATTTGGTAATGAAAGAATTATGATTTTATTGGTTGCCATTTGCATCTGGCTTTGTTTTGGATAGAAATGACCAGAAGTATAATTATACTCATTTTTTAGAAAATAAAAACATTGTAATTAAATATATCTTTTGACTAAAAAAGGGAAATTTTCGATTAAAGCTTTCAATTTGATTTGTCTGGTACGGAAAAGTGATTATCAATTGGTTTTTGATTTTTGAGATTGTAGATACTCAACAAAGTCAACTTTTATTGAATAAGAAAGTTGACTTTGCTCAGATTTTGAATTGGTGTCTTATATAATGGAAGAAGCGACTTTGGGGAACGAAGAAGAATCCACTTACAATGGCGGTTTCCTCCACCTCCAGCGAAGAAACCCCGCCGCAGCACCAAGTGTTCATCAATTACAGAGGAGACGAGCTGCGGAGTAACTTCCTCGGGTTTCTCGTGAAAGCAATGAGAGACGCGAAGATCAACGTCTTCACAGACGAAGTAGAAGTCAGAGGTAGAGATCTGCAGAATCTTTTCAAGAGGATCGAGGAATCGAGAGTCGCGGTCGCGATCTTATCCGAGAGATACACCGAATCGAGCTGGTGTCTGGATGAATTAGTGAAGATGAAGGAGCGGATCGACGAAAAAATGCTCGTCGTCGTTCCCATTTTCTACCGATTGGACGCCACCAACTGTAAAAAACTCTTGGGACCTTTCGGCGACAATTTCAGGGAGCTGGAGAGAGATCATCGGAGTGAGCCTGAGAGAATCCAGAAATGGAAAGAAGCTTTGATCTCTATTCCTCAAAAGGCTGGCTTGACTTTGGCAGGACACAGGTACATTTACAATTATGAACGAATGTTTGATTTCAAACCTTGTTTCCTGGTTAAGTGTTCCGAATTCTGGATTTGGGTAGAATCAATCTTCAATCTTCATAGCAAAGTTTTGCTAGGACTTGATCAGAATTTGAACTTCTCACTGATAATGGCAGGGATGAGTCTGAATTGGTTGAATCAATCGTTAAGGAGGTGAAGAAAGTGCTCATCTATATTTCAAGCAAGGAAAGTGGTGACTCTAATAATTCCACCAACACTGAAGGTTGCTTTCTTGTTCATAAGATGTTTGTTATATTGCTTATGAAGTGTGATTGATTGAGTATATTCCAAAATACAAGTGAGCTCCATAGCTGTTGTTTTTTTTTCTGTGATTCTCAGGTCAATCCATAAATCAGCAAACTCAAACCAATAACATCAAATCGTCTTTTGAGCCTCTAATGGCAGAGCTAGACCTATTACCACCACGTCTCCCTCCAGTTTTTGTTAGTTTCTGCAAAGAAGAGCTTGGAGACAACTTTGTCAGACATCTTGTGTGGGCATTGAGAGAGTCAGGGGTCAATGTCTTCACAGAACGCTACAAGCTTAGAGGAAGAGAAGAAGAACAAGATCATGAGTCGAATATTGCGCTGGCCATCTTCTCAAAGAGGTACTCCGAGTCAGGTTTGTGCTTGAACGAGTTTGTGAAGATGGGGAAGCTTGCAAAGAAAGGTAAACTTGTGGTCATCCCCGTGTTCTACAATGTGAACAAAAACGACGTGAGGAGACTCTTTACAGATACAAAGATGAGATTTGCAATGGAGCCAGTATTGGTTCAGAGTTGGGAAGAATCTTTGAAGTCGTTTGTTACAGGGAGGATAAGCTTGAGCTTGGAAGCACACATGTATTGAAAACACTGAATCAATTCTTGTTTGTTGGTAGTACTAAAGACTTTGTGGTTTGCAGAAACGAATTTGCTCTTGTTGGTGCCATTGTTAGAGAGGTTACAAGATTGCTACAAAGCTCTTCAAGAAGAAGAAGCAGAAGAAAAATGGGGATTGGACAAGTGTTTGTGAGGGCTTTACATGCGACTTTTATCTTTGCTCTTTTCATATTCTCTATGCCTCCCACTGATGTAAATATTCTCAAAGTTGGTAACTTCTTACTAGGCTTTCCGTTTTTGGTTGTTGTCTTGCACAAGATTTTGTGTTAACAGAATCAACACAATATAGGATGTTTTTGTCGCTTGTTGTTAATGGAACAAAATAAGCTTTTGTATTGTATTTGTTGTGTTGATAATGGAACCAAATACAGTACAAAATGCAATAATAACCAAAACAAGATTATGTATTGAGTAAATACAAATACAATGCATAAGCTTATTTTGTTCCATTATACAACTTTTTGTTGCTGTTAATGGAACAGAATAGGCTTTTGTATTGTATTGTATTTGTTGATATTTTGGTTATTGCATTTTCCATTTTTCCCCACCAGAACCCAGCTGAGTCAACTCGGTAGGCGTGACAAAAGCAGCTGAGTTAACTCGTGAGGCGTGACAAAAGCAGTGACGAGTGAGGACAAGGCAAAGTTTTTTTCTTCTTCTTTCGCTTTCGCTAATTCTTCTCCAATATAAGAAGTCAGAAGACACCCGTCTTTAGCATTGTCCATTAAAGCTTGACTTTTTTTAATCCTTATCACCAGAAAACATCGTTCAACAACAGCGACATTTGCTTTCTCTCTGGGATCTCACCACCAGGTACATAACATCATCGTGGGTCATGTTTCCCAATTCTCCGATCTTCCTTTCTTCATGATCATGATCGTATTTAGACTCAATACTGAATTTCGGATTCCATCTAGATTCTGGGTTAAATATGTTCAACTGCGGAAAGCCAAACATTTGTGAAATCGAATTCCCTAATATGTTCGATTTTGACTCTCTACTGAACTGAAAAAAGTGCTTGAAATCCCGAAAGTTTGATGCTTTTTTATGATCATGTGAAGATTAACAAAACTAATCTTTTGATTGTGTTTCATTATTACTAGGTAGCAAAAAAAGAAAAAAAATGGCTAGGTCTGGGGTTGATGAGACATCAGAATCCGGAGCTTTTGTGAGAACAGCATCAACATTCCGCAACTTTGTTTCACAAGATCCTCACTCTCAGTTCCCAGCTGAATCCGGTAGATACCATCTTTACATATCCTACGCTTGTCCTTGGGCTTGCAGATGCCTCTCTTACTTGAAGATCAAAGGTCTTGATGATGCAATCAGCTTCTCGGTCAGTACCAAATATTCGTTCATCATTGCTTCTATCTTGTTTCTGTCATTGTTTACCTAAAAGCATCCTTCTTTTATTTGGTTCTTGATCAAGTCTGTTCACGCAATTTGGGGAAGGACTAAAGAAACTGATGATCATAGAGGATGGGTCTTCCCTGATTCGGACACAGAGCTCCCTGGAGCTGAGCCTGATTATCTCAACGGTGCAAAGACTGTGAGAGACCTCTATGAGATTGCTAGCCCTAATTACACTGGGAAGTACACTGTTCCTGTAAGTTTCTATGACCTTCTCTGTGACTTCTCTTGTACTGTTCATTGAATCTTTTTGGTTCTCTGTTTTTTTCTTTGTTTATGTTAGATTCTATGGGATAAGAAGCTCAGGACTGTAGTTAACAATGAGAGTTCGGAGATAATCAGGATGCTTAACACCGAGTTCAACGGTGTTGCGAAAAACCCGTCGCTCGATCTTTATCCTTCTCATCTCAGAGACGCAATCGACGAGACTAATGAATGGGTTTTCAATGGGATCAACAATGGTGTTTATAAATGTGGGTTTGCTAGGAAACAAGAACCATACAATGAGGTATATATAAAATCTTCCATGTTCTTATACCGTTTTTAACAGGTCGGATTTTGAAAGATTTGATCCATTTTCTCATCAGGCAGTGAACGAGTTATATGAAGCAGTAGATAGATGTGAGGTTATACTTGGAAAGCAACGGTACATTTGTGGAAACACTTTCTCCGAAGCTGATATTCGATTATTCGTCACTCTCATAAGATTTGATGAGGTATTTGATTAGAAAACAGACTTTTCTTGTTTGTTTTCCAACGAATAATCAAGTTCTTGACATCATCTTGTGTGTTTTAGGTATATGCGGTTCACTTCAAATGTAACAAGAGACTCTTGAGGGAGTATCCGAATATCTTCAACTACGTAAAAGACATATACCAAATCAGTGGAATGAGTAGCACTGTGAACATGGAACATATTAAGCAACATTACTACGGAAGCCACCCTACGATAAACCCGTTCGGGATCATTCCTCAGGGACCGAACATCGACTACTCTTCGCCTCACGATCGCGAGAGGTTCTCCTCGTGAAAAACCAGACATCAAGGATCAATGTTTTAGCTTCCTGTCCTAAAAATGCAAAACCTGTCGTTTGTTTTTCAGTTTAAAAGTTAATACTTGTGTGTGTATGTGTGAATGTTGCAAGCTGTGTTGAATTCTATATTTTGCAAAGTGATTGTATGTTTTGAGATTGATCTAATTTTTGAAACACTTTGGCACAGAATCTGTTCTTTTATTCATAGCTTTTTGATATGCTTAGTTTTGTGTTGGTCAAAGATGAGAATGAGAGATTGAGTGAACATGATCTCTTTTTAATCTAAGGAATGATTTCCGGAAAGATGAGTTTAGGAAACTTTTTTCACCACAATAAACGTCATGTTTGGCCGATACAGAAGAGTAAAAAGCTCGTCTTTTTTTTTTCACCACAATAACGCATATAAATACTGTCGTCACGTCAGGTTTGACCAATAGAGAAGAGTCAAAGCTTGAAAAATGGTGAAACCTTGTGGTGTCTCTCACTAAGATCTCCCGTCTCTCAATCTCGGAGATATATTTGATTGCTTTATGACAATCACCGCAGATTCTCAGGTTCTTGAACACTTGTATCGGTGAACCTTGAGGGAGTTTTAAGCACCCAAAAGCAACAGCTAACTTCTCGCTGTGCCATAACAATAGCTTCTTTTTCTGCTCTTCTTCTACATGGTGTAAAGCAAACTCTAGCTCCGGTTTGTATCCAGCAAGTTTCATTTTCTTCTCCAACTCCTTGAGTTTCTTGTGTATTGAGTCTAGCTCAGGGTGAATCCGATCACTTGATCTAAAATGGTGAACCAACTATATCCAGGTACCTGAAACAATCGATTGAACACATAAAAGGTCTTGTAAAACGAATAAAGAATCAAAAACTTTTTCAATCACCATACCTTGACGACATTGCTCTCCTTGATTCTCTTGCGAACCCTAGCAACGTCTTCCCAACGACTCCTCGAAGCGTAGATATTAGCAAACTGCACATATCCGGCTGCATTTCTCGGGTCAAGCTCAAGTAGTTTCTCAGCTGCGAACTCAGCCAATTCTACATTCTTGTGCCACAAGCCGCAGCTTGTGGTCTAAACGGCATTGATCTTATCAACTTCAACGCCTCCGCCAGCTTCCCAGCCCGACCCAAAAGATCAACCATACACGTGTAGTGATCAGGCCGCGGTTCTACCCTGTAATCTCTCACCATCGAATCAAAATACTCCAGTCCAGCATGGTTACAAGCCAGCAAAACCGCAACAAATGTTATCCAATCCGGTTTGGTCCGGTTATCTCTCATCTCACAGAACAAAGACAGCGCCTTTTCCGCTTTACCGTGCTGTGCATACCCGGACATGATCGCATTCCACGCCACAACGTCTTTCTTCTCCATGGCCTGAAAGAGTTTCCAAGATTTCCACATTTGCAGTACATACTTATCAGAGACGTCACTGCGGTTATGTCACCCACACAGAGTAGATTTACAAACTATTTGATGGATTTGACTCCCTAACTGTAACGCCGACAACTCGCTGCTCAGTCCAGAGGCATTAGGCCTAACTCCTTCCTCCATCATTGCTCTGAAAAGCTTTAATCCATCTTCTGGCCGAGAGTTTTCGACGTAACCAGAGATCATAGCATTCCAAGTTACGAGATTTTTCTTCACTGTCATGTCTTTGAACTCTGCCTCAGCTAATGCAACCTTGTTAGCTTTCATGTACCCTGTGATCATCGCCGTCCACGCCTCTAACCGGAGCAGCTTTGAAGAACTGTCTTGCCATTTCCAAATCTCCGCATTCTACGTAACCCGAAATCATGGCATTCCAAGAAATTTCGTTCTTCTCCGACATGGAATAGCGCTTTTTCCGTTTCCCTTCTCCGCGCGTACCCTGTGATCATCGTGTTCCATGACGCCGAGTCCGATCGAAGAAGCTCCGGGCCTTGTCGAAGTCGCCGTTGCGAACGTAGCAAGACAAGATGATGTTGTAGGAGAAAGTATCTGGTTGAGGGATTTCGTCGAACAGTTGGTGTGCTTCTCTCGTTCTGTTTGGATCTTTGGAAATTCCGACGAGCAGTGAATTCCAGGTGACGGTGTTCTTAGCTCTCATCCCGTGAAATACTCTGAGAGCTCCATCTATGTCTCCTGAACGCACACAGCTGGCTATAGTCTTGTTCAACGTGAATATCTGTTGTTGATCATGAACTGTTGGAGGCTCGGACCGAACCAGAGGTGACTCTGGCGATGAACTAGAGGAAAACAAAGATAATCCCACCAAAATGGCATCTGGGTTTTCAAAGAATCGAAATTTCCAGTTCCAGGGTTTGAATGGCGGATGATTGAGGAAGCGAGAAAGCATTTTTCATGGTTTATGACACAAGAGGAGAAAGATGTTTCTTGTTCCACATTTAACTTTATAAAACTTCTGATTTATTTAAATGTGGCTTGTCTTGTGTTGGTTCTTTCACGGAGAGATGATCTCGTGAAGATAGAAGAAGCGAATCTGTTTAGATAAGTCACTGGTTTTTGTGGTGAAGAGGGAACTTTGCAGGATTAAAGCTAGAGCTGCTAGATGGGTTGTTCTGGAACTCAAGTCGGAGCCTTTACATGCATCTCAAGACTCTCAAGAGTAGAAGAAGCCTCTGGAGAATCTATATAAGAGAAGAATTGGAATGATGTCGCTGTGTTTTACAGAGTCACAAGATGAAAAAGGTTGTGTTGATTCCCTCATCCTAACCAGTAACCATAAACTAGATTGAATCCTAATGGATCAGGCCTAGCAGAATCAATGATCATGTTTCCAACAACCAAACATACCTGAGCAAAAGTAGGGAAGATTTAGACACTTAGTAACGTTTTTGAGAAAACTTGACTTGGATTTTGCTCTTGGAAGAAACTCTTGGAAGCATTAGCAGATCCACCATGACTCGTAGCCATTCGCCACCTGATACTTGAGCATGAACTTCCACCAGTTCAAGACATGCTAATTTTCCCAAGAAAATGCTTCATTTGCCCAAGCTCTTCCCTACTTCCTGCGTACCCGGTTATTTTTAGAACTTCCAAAGAAGAAGATAACACGTACTGGCAAACCAATTCTTTTTTATTACCATAGTGAAAGGAATCCTGATACAAAATAAAAAAGAGATTTGAGATGAAGCTTTATGAGTGATTTGTTGGTGTTTACGGTCACATTAGTACCTCAATGATGAGTGTCTTCAGATATGGAGATTTTGATATGAGAATCCTAGAGAATCCCAACAGAAGTTTGAAAGGCTAACAGATACCTGAAAAAGCTTTCCAAACACTGGAAGTGCTTCACGGTAGACATAAAGCATCTGAAACACAAGAAAATCATCTAAATCAACTCAATTGCAACATATAGATGTAAAGTGAAAACATCAAGAACCATTTGCATACTCTAGCAAGATTTTGACTCCTATAAGTTATAACTCAATGGTTCCTAATGTACTTTTATTTATTATTTGCAAACTTGCAATAATAATATGAGATATCAAAGAGAGAGAGAAAAAATAGAGAGATACTTACCTCCATAGTTTCAACGTTTAAGTACAAAATCTCAACATCTTTTAACCCATTAATCAGATTCATTGGATCAAAATATTCTGCATGTTCGTCTCCCCATGAAGATCGAGCTTAGCTTCAACAAGGGAGTTGAGATTCACAACTCAGATACTCTTTAGGAACATAATCAGAATACTCCAACTAGGTAAGAGGCGCAGTATCAAAACTAATGCTGTCAAAATCAAAGGCAAGACCCCGAGAATCTAGTACATTGCTGTCACCACCATATCTCTCATAAGCACCCTACACTTGACGTCGGATAGTCAGTCTTTGAAGGATCGGACTAGACACAGCCGAAGACCATCTCCAGCTTTCCCACTCAATACCATCCATGACCAACTCCTCAAGCACAGGGGAAGCAGAAACAAGCGCTTGGAACGCACAACGACCACCAAAATCATTAAAGAACCGAACAGAGTCAAGAAGAAGAGTCTTGAGAGCTGGAAGCAAAGCATCCGCAGGGATAAAGTCGATAGCAAAACCAGACCCAAGTTTCATTGTGTGAACCGTCTTGCAAGTAAATATCTCCAAAGGCAGTGAATAAGATCCTTCTTTAGCGACCATCAAAATGAAGTTTTGGTATGATGGTAAGGAGATTTCGCCATCTCTTCCATTGTGAAAGCAGCCTCCTTTTCTGAAATAATCTCATTTGGTAGATTACTGATTAGATCCATACTTTCTCCACGACTAAACTCCAACATCTACACGAGTAATATATATACAACAAGTAAATAGAGAAACTGTGCCATGAAAAAATCAACAATACACTCTAAAGTCTACGTATATAAAGTAAATCAGAAGCTGCTACTAACAAAATTCATTTGAACATAGCTACAGAGAATGGAACAGAAAGAGAATCAACTAACTGAATTCGTAGGTGATGTTTGATAGATGATGATTCAGAGATTGAGAGGGAGAGAGAGTTTAGAGAAGAGTTATTTCTTGGTTGATTTTGCAGAGAAAGGCAAAAGCCATTACATATATAGAGTTTTCACGATACAGAATACTAAGCGGCACCATTGACCGTTTAAGAAAACGAAGAGACTCAAAAAGTGTAAACCAAACCAAGTGGCAGAACCGAGAACCAATTTAATGAGAGAAAAAGGGTAATTTTGTCATTTTATTAGCAAGACAAAACGTAAGTTAAAAAAGTTAAGCGCCGTTGCCGGGGATCGAACCCGGGTCACCCGCGTGACAGGCGGGAATACTTACCACTATACTACAACGACTTTGGTGATGCTAAAAAAGTTTACTAATATTTTTATTTTATCTTCTATATTTAATGTTAATTTCATAAAAAGCTTGAAGGAAGAAGACTTGGTGATTATTGATACTTTGTTATGTGACAATGGGAATTGGGAAGAGAACACATGCTAGATCTGTTTCAGGTTTGATGTATTCATGACGTAATGTGAGGTCTGTGAAATCATGAATGGGTTGAGATCGAGATCGTTGCAGAAGACGGCTTTGTTGTGATCTAGAGAATATGTTTGAAAGAGAAGAATTAAAGTGCCAATGAGTTTGGATATTAGATTAAGAATTGTGTTGAAACCAGATTAAGATCAAGGGTTTGAGAAAACTGGAGTGTTGAGTTGGTAATTTCCAGTTTGTGATGATTTTTAGAAGAGAATTCATCATCAAAGATGTTGGCTTCAGATCCTCTAAAGTGAAGATCAAGTCTGCATCTGTTAGAATCAGATGATCAATCTCTATGTCTGAAGTTGAGAACAACAGTGGTTTGTAGAATTATCTTTTGTGATCTTGTCCTGCCTTGGTTATAAAATGATGATTTGGAGAAAATGAGTATCGAGTTGTTGGTGCTGGGTTATTAACTTGAACCAATAACCAGGCGATCAGGAAAAGTCAGGGATTGGCTTCATGAGTTTTCGATGGTCATTAAAAGTGAAACAGAAGATAACCAAATGAGTGTTTTGTTTTGCTAACCTCGTTCTTCATATGCTTCTCTAAAGGAGAGGGTTTTAAGGTTAGCTCAAGGATTGTCTTTGAGTGAATTCAACAGTTCTCCCATTTTGACAACTACAGTGAGGTTCGATAACCAGACATTAGTATGAGCAGAGCCTAGTACATAGATGAGCGACATGAGATTTATTTGCAAAATCTGCAGGTTCATTTGACAATGATGGTTATGAGGATATATGAATCATTTCTGGATACTTATGGAGCAGAGATTGCAACAACGTCTGTCACAGAGTGTAACAGTGCTTAGACAGAAGCTATTGGGCTGTACTCAGTGGCGAATCCACTAACACCGATACGGTGTCATGTGACACCATAACAATTTGTATGCAAACGTATTTTTGGTTAAAATATCATTGATTTTGTTAGACTGCATGGAAAAATCTTGCCTATGACCCCTTAAAAAGAGTTTGATTCTCCATACCGGCCTGACCCATTTTGGCGCCTAAAGCAAAAAAAAAATTTAGCCCATGTAAAACACTGTTAAAAAACAAAATACGCGATTTTGGCATTACAAGGGTTCGAACTCGTGACCTTCCTTTTCACATGTAAGCAATGACACAACCACCATGCTACTAAGGACTTTTGTTATTTTGGCGCCCTAAAAACTTTATTATATGTTGGCGCCTAAAGCATGATGCTTTACATGCTTTAGGTCAGTGCCGGCTTGGTAACATTTTTTTCTAGATTCGCCACTGACTGTACTTATGATTTCTGAAGCAAAAGGAGGCGAACAAGCTTAAGCGATGAGTAATTTGCCTTGAGGGAGTGCTTACTTGGTGTTTGTCTCAATATTTTCTGTGAGCCACGTGCAGGTGCTTGATGGGATAATGAGTTTGTGGAACTAAGACACAATTTTCTTGAATGGAAAGTGTGAAGAATCGAGGAGCCTACAAAATTGACGTTTTTTTTTTTTTTTTTTTCGTTGATGTTGTGTGATTTTATCAAATATAATACCATCTATATCTATTAAAGTAGTGAGTTATTTGAATTTTTTTTTAGTTATGTTGATTTTATCTTTTATTAAAAAGTCCAATGAAATATCCCTTTTTGTATTTTTATTTTTAAATCAATTAAAATATACTAATAAATAAAAAAATTGGAATTTTAAATTAAAAATAAACAAAAGATAAAATATATACACTGGCAAACAAAAGAGTGGCACTTTTCCATCAATTTTGTTTTTGAGATAAAAATTAAAAAAAAAAGTCTTCGTCGTCCACTCTCAAGCTGAAACGAAGTTCTTGCTTGGGTCCTCTCCATTATTACACTTCTTCCCCCAATCCCTTGTATTTCGATCCTTTCGAAGAGTGTTGCATCTAAGACATGAGAAAGATCTAACACTACTACTGATCGGTTTGTACTTCTTTCTCTCTATCGAACATACCCCCAAAATTGTCTCTTTGAATTTTGATTAATTACTCCGTCTGTTTTCAGTCGAATTCTGATGCTTTTTCATGTTTCCTTTT